TGGGGCTATTCAAGTTATCTGTTTCTTCTTGAGTGAGCTTTGGTGTTTTCAAGGAGTCTATCCATTTCCAAAAGTTGTTGAATTTATTGGCAAAAGTTGTTCATTGTATTCCCTTTCTATCCTTTAATGTCTATAGAATCTGTAGTATTTTGATCTCTCTCATTTCTTATATTGATAATTATATCTTCTCTCATATTACTCTGATTAGTCTGACTAGAGTCCTAAAAATTTTATTGAACTTTTCAAAAATCAAGTTCTTGGTTTCATTGATTTTCGCTATTGTTTTTTCTATTTTGTTGATTTCAGTTCTGATTTTTATTATTTCCTTTCTTTTACTTAATTTGAACTTAATTAAAAAAATTTGTAGTTATTGACAGTGGAAGCCATAATCATTGTTTTGAGGACTTTTTCTTTCCTAACGTGCATTTAGTGCTGTTCATTTTCCCATAAGAAGTGCTTCAGTGACATCCTGCAAATTTTGATAAATTGTTGTGTTTTCATTTTTATTTAATTCAATATATTTTGAATTTCTCTTTGGTTTCTTCTTTTACCCATTGCTTATTTAGAATTATGTAATTTAGCTTCCAAATTCTGGGGTTTTCCAGAGATCTTTCTGATATTGACTTCTTTTTTTTAAATTTTTCCTGTTATTGACTTCTAAGTTAATTATTTTGTGGTCAGTAAGCATACTCTGTATGACTCAAATCTTTAAAAGTTTATTGAGATTTTTTGGGGGGCCTAGAATATGGTCTATCTTGGTAAATATTCCAGACTGCATTAGAAAAGAATGTTTATTCTGCTGTAGTTGGATGAAGTGTTCAACAAATGTCAATTAGATCAAATTGGCTGATTTTCTGTCTAGTAGTCTATCAGTTATCGACATATTATTAATTCAAGTTAGATGAAAAGGAAGACGGGTTTAGTTCATTAATCTCTCCTGGTGTCTCTATGTGAGAGAAGGTGTAAAATTCCTCCCAGGAGTGACTTAGCATGCCTTAAAATTTGGTAAGACTCTTTAAGGCACCCACATAAACATGTTGTCTAAATAAAAACAAGGTGCTTGTTATGAAAACACAGCTTCCTGGCAAATTCTTTTTCCATTCCCTCCATTCCTCTTCAACCTTACTATATTCCCTGTAATAGTTCTATATAAATTCTGGAGTTTCCACTGTTGGGTAGTGGTATATTAGTTATTATGGGGTTCACATCCTTTGGTATTGTAATATAAAAAAAAGATTGAAATATTCTTGAAAGTTCTGAAGAAGTACATGGAGAGACATTGACTGTCAAGTTTTTGAACACAAAAATTGGACAAATGGTTTAGGGAATACCTGCATTATGGCACACATCTGGAGTTCAGTAGAATGGTGAGTTCAGGGTAGCAAAACTTGCTGCTAAAAATACTGTCTAGTTTTCTATTTTGTCCCTCACAGTTGACACAAATAACTGAGAGATAATTGAGAGCTAAATCTATTGTCTTATGCACTTTTGCACATCTAGCTATCTTACAAGAACTTTTGGTATTTTGAATATCTATTTTTAAAATGTAATTTGAATACTACAAAATTGATACATTTTCAGCTTCACATGACTGTTTATTTAGGTCAGAGAGATTTCATATGAGTTACTATTTATATATGCTAAAGACCCCTCAGGCAATGTCAGGCTGTTGCATGTGGACAGCTTCTTGAATTATAGCACAGAAACTTTAATACCTACCTCAGGAATGATAGGAGTCTTAAATAGGCAGTCATATTTACTAAAGAAACCTAGAGTTTTCTTAGATTGCCAACCTTAGTAAGACAAGAAATGTCAGGGTGATAGAGTTTAAGTGGCTCTTTTCAGATATGTTACACTGATTCTCTATATTTAAGATGCAAAACAGCCTTCCAGGAGCTATTTAATTAAGTGAAAGTAAGTCTAGTCCCTTTGGAACCAAATGGTTCAGTGAACAAATACATGTCAGTATGTGAAGGAAGTGGGGGAAGTTATTATGTGCTTCATAGACATGGTGACACTTTATAACCCCATATCAGGGATCCTAAACAGTGATTGGTTGAGAAAATTATCAAACTGAGTTTAAATTTCAGCAGGTACAAAATTGTCACGCAAATGTCCAGGACAGTGAGCCACTCTCAGTCTTCAATGCGAAAGATAAGAAATCCTGGATTTTCAAAGTCCCTTTGAAGGCTTTTAAGGTAAGATGAAACCTCGTCTTTACTCAGAACCAACTGATTCCTGTAGAAATTTTAATTTCAGAGAAGAAGCTGACTTGATTTTATGAAGTGAATAATCCTTATGCTTAGATTTTTTTCCTTCCCCTTTGACTTGGCAAATCAAGACTACATGTTAAAAGAGAACAGAAAATTATATGGTAAGGGATACTAATTCCATCTAGCAAAATATTGGATCACTGAAAAATAAGAATTTTATTACAGCCACTATGTTAAAATATCAGTTGCTAATAGGAAGAGAATACATAAGATGAAGCAAATATTATAAATCTAAAATATTAACAACGAAATAAGGAATTAGAATATTTTATACATAATTCATGATAGCTCCATTACTGTTATTTTTATCTACAAAAACCATCTTTAAGAATCTTGAATCTAATTAAAGACATTTTTTAGCCTTACCATTGCAATATAAGATGTGATGGCATTTAATAAATAAGTAAAGACACAATCTCTTCCAATCTCACATAGTGACGATAGTGACATTTAAACACTGACTTGGGAAATAAACATGGATTTGGGAATTTCAGTCAACACATTATAGTACATTTACTTCAAAGCTTGGCTAATCCATTTAGTGGTAAGCTCCATGAGGGTAGGGCTCATATCTATTTCCAGGGCTCAGTATCTGGTCCATGATAGTTCTTCAAATGTTGAATGAACGACTGCATCCCAGTTTACATTTATTTTTTGGTCCCTGAATCACCAAACTTCAGCCTAAAATATCAGGTATTTTTTGCCAACTGACATGAGGGTTTTTAAAGCTAGATTAGAATATGTCTACTTAAGATATCTGGAAATTCTGACCTCTATCCCATACATTTTCTGTTTGATGATATCATAACAGGTTTAGAAAATGAAAGAGGTTTTGGGCTGACAGAACTGGGGCCATTTCTTTAGCAGTGTTTTGAGCTATTTACCTACCTGAGAATATAGTGGCAAGCATCACGGTGCACATTGCAATTGTTCTGGAGTGGGTCTGAAAGAGAACCAAAGTAGTCAGATTGCAGGATTGTGGTTTAGCATGGACTGCACATAACCGTGACCTTCACCACAGGTACCTTTCTAGGACACCATGGTTGTCCAAATGGACACCATGGTCCAAATAAGTGTACACCAGTCTTCAGCAGAGTCTATGTAGTAATTAGGCTTGGTACTGCAAAGTTCTGTATGGTACCTGCTTACTAAACAGCTACCCTTCAACATCTGTGCCCCAGAGTAAGCCCATTTTTTTTTTCCTCTCGGAAATCATGTCCTCTCTCCTGTAAGGAAGTGCCAATAATTCTATGACACTTAATATTCACTAAAATTTTATTATGTTTCCATAATCAACATTAAATTCAATTAAAGCTATTTTATGACATGCATTATTTTAATCTATAAACTCAGTGGGAGTTCATGAAATAGGAGTAAAACTCTTTCTTCCTTTCTGTGGTAATAGTATCATTACACCAAGAAATCTAATTTTCAGTAATGGTAATTTAAATTTTTGATTCACATGGACTATACAATGTCTATTCCAATGTATCAAAATATATATTATACCATTTCTGAATGTGAACTCTAACAGGAATAAAGGATCATATTTTTAGAAGCTCCATATAATAATTGCTATCATTTATAAAGGGATTGCTAAATACCCAGAACACTGCTAAGTATGCTTATACTAATAAGTATTCACCAACAATATTCATAAAACAGCTCTTTCTGTGCTATGTATTAGAATATAGTGATTACAACACATTCTCCTAGGTTTCAGGAGTAGGTCAGAGAATATATAAGTAACCAGGTTATGTTAAAATGGTAGAATATGTTACCAGCGAGGTTTGCAGAAGTTTCTGGGTGTAAAAAGGATAAAGACACCAAATGCCCTTTATTTTTTTTTTTAAGATTTTATTATTTATTTATTTGACAGAGAGAGATCACAAGTAGGCAGAGAGGCAGGCAGAGAGAGAGGGGGAAGCAGGCTCCCTGCTGAGCAGAGAGCCTGATGTGGGGCTCGATCCCAGGACCCTGGAATCATGACCTGAGCCGAAAGCAGAGGCTTTAACCCACTCAGCCACCCAGGGGCACCAAATGCCCTTTGGAAAGGAGTCAGAGAATGCTCCTCAGAGAAGACTCTTCTGCTAACATAATTGGTATAATCTCAAAGTGTAGGTATTATTATCCCAGATGGAGGGAACAAAGGCTTAATAAAACTACTTAAATCTCTGAAGTTCATGCAACAAGTAGCAGAGGTAGAACTTGAACCTAGGTCTCTAAATCCAAACTTCGTGTTCCTTCCACTAGCCAAGGCTACATGATGTTAGTAATTTCTTTCCTTCACAGTGTCCTATAGCCCACTTCTGTGGATTGTGATGGGGATGATAAATGATTCCTCTTTTAGTGATAATCTTAGAATTAGTTAATACTTGATTAAAATTATTCCGAAAAAAATGTTATCACCATCAAAAATAGCAAAACAAAGTTATGGTTGTATCCTTTGTAACTACATGGCTGTGTCTCTTCATTGGCATAGGCAGAAAAAGTCTAGTTAGCTACACCAGTGCTGAGCCTGATGATGCCTCCGTATGTCTCTGGGAGCACTCCAGCTATGTTCTGTAACACTGAGTCTTGATAGCCTTCTTCTCATGTTGGATATATACTCCCTGCCCAGGAAAAAGTCAAAATAATACCTTACCATGGTTATCATCTTTTTCTTTATAAGTAATTTTTGCTGTTCTTTTTTCATTAAAAACAGGTTGATTAACATTCCTAAAGAAAATGAAGATAATTATATATTTTTGCATTTGGGCAGCAGCATGGGCTATTCCAGTAAGTATGTATTCCTTAGAAAATCTCCTCACTTTGTTATCTCTTTTAACCTAACATTAAATAATATGTATTTCCTTAAGACTTTGAAGACAAACTGTGCCTAAACATTTAAATTTCCATGAAAGACTTTATGAGATATCTTTAGGGGTCTCAACAAACCCAAATATGCACTCCAATTCATGCTCCCATTCCTCTAAATGAAACTAATACCTTGTCAGATGGATTATTACTATTAAAATTTATTCCATTTGTGTTTGCTTTGGCAGCACATATACTAAAATTGGAATAATACAGAGAATATTAGCATGGCCCCCATACAGGGATAACACACAAATTTGTAAAATTCATTCAGATTTATATTCAATGCTCAAAAGTCATGGAGACTTCAGCCATCTTTGCTCATGCCCTGTGAATTTCATTATAATATCAATGAAACCTACATATTTTTAAAAAAGATTTTATTTATTTATTTGACAGACAGAGATCACAAGTAGGCAGAGAGGCAGGCAGAGAAAGAGAGAGAGGAGGAAGCAGGCTCCCCGCTGAGCAGAGAGCCCGAAGCGTGACTTGATCCCAGGACCCTGACACCATGACCCGAGCCAAAGGCAGAGGCTCAACCCACTGAGCCACCCAGGCACCCTGAAGCCTACATTTTAAAGGAAGTTTTCAAGGAATTATTTGGAAAAAATAAGGATTTTTTCAATGTAGGAGAAAATTAATGTTTCACTCAGATAATTTTTTTTTTAATGCTCATTGGGGAAAATTTGGAATACACAGATAAACACCAACAAAAAAAAAATTAGGAAAATTAAACCATTTGTAATTTTGTTACCCTGCTATGGGTAACATTTTGGTATGCTTTCATACTATCAAACAACTTGGTATTTATGCAGTTCAGAATTTTCTCAACTATTTCAAATGTGCTCCTGAAGGAGCGAAGTAGCATATTACTTTATTTTGTTTCTTCACTGGCTCTGGTCATACCTTGTATTTTCTTAGGGGTTTGGTCAGGATTATACTTAAGGTGGGTCTTGCGCTAGTGTGGGAGGTTTGTACAGAAACATTAAAGGTCTATCTCCTCATTTTTATAAAAGACAATCCTCCTTGAGGTAACTGTCCGGTTAATATCAATAAAATCAGTAATACTATTGTGAGAATTATCTGTATGCCCAGTTTAAATCCTACATAAGCTGTGTAACAAGCTTGGTTAGATATTACTTTGGCCTTTGCATTATATATTTTTCTTCATTTAGAGAAAAATGTGTGTCTGTATGTATGTGTGCATGTGTGCATGCATGTATGTTTTCATGTTTTCAATTTTTCATGTTTTTCATTCAATTTCATGAAATTGAATGTTTTCAATTTCCAACATTTTCATTTTGGTAGGTTCCTCAAATCAAGCCACTGGAGAGACATGCTGTTGACAAATCTACAAATTTAAATCTTCTGGAAAAAGCAAAAGTGCCAATACAGGTATAGGGTATAAAATGTGTTTCTAAGCTGTTTTTAAATTCTTTTTTTTAAAAATTAATTAATTAATTAATTATTTATTTGAGAGAGAGAGAGAGAGAGAGATCACAACAGAGAGCATGAGTCGGGGAGGGACAGAGGGAGAGGCAGACTCCTCACCTAGCAGAGAGCCTGACACGGGACTCCATCCCAGGACACTTAACCTACTGTGGCAGATGCTTAACTGACTGTGCCACCCAGATGCCCCTCAATTCTATTAACTTCCAGAAAACTGATGCTTACCTTTTCAGTCTGTTTTACTTCAAGATAAAATCTACAAATTATTTTGAATTGTTTCTCTTTTCCAGGATGAGTTAAATGCCAATGATACCACTGAAAGTGGTGACCCCCATGAAAATGAAAGAGGAAGGCAACAATATACCAGAGATGGTTACAAAGAAGAAAGAAATGGCTCTGAGTGGGTGGAAATAGGAGGGAAAAGTTCTTCTACAGATTCCATGTTAGTAAATGATGAGGGGAATAGTGTGGACCAAAATGGGGTCACAGGAAAACCAGAAACATATGGTTATGATGGGATACATGGAAAAGAAGGTAGCACCACAGCAAATGGCATCAGGGGACAAGTAAGCATCATTGGCAATGCTGGAATAGCAAATGGAAGCAATATTAATAGAAATGCTGATAAGAATTTAAACAATGGAGGAGTTGTTGGAGATGCAAGTCTGAGTGAGAATGTCACTGTTGTCCAAGAAGAAGACCATCAAATAGGTAGAAGCAATAACAGTACAGGCCATGAGGATGAAATAAATAGGAATGCCTGTAGAAATGAGGGTGATACAAGTGAAATAACACATCAGAGAGAAAGTGAGGGAAATGGGAATCAGGAGGCAGAAGTAACACCAGGAAGAAGTGGAGCTGGCAGTGGAAAAGATGCTGGCCTGGATAATTCTGATGGGAGTCCTAGTGGAAATGGAGCAGAGGAGGATGAAGAAATAGGTTCTGGTGATGATGAAGGTGAAGAGACAGGGAATGGAAAAGAGGGTACTGATAACAGGAAGGGCCAAGAGGGTCAGCCTCATGGAAAAGATGACAATGATAACAGCTTAGGTCAAAATTCAATTAGTAGTGAAGATGATGACCCAGAAGATAAAGAAGATCCCCATGACATCGATGGAGACAACACCTCCAAGAGTGAGGAGGATTCTGATGGTATTTCTAAAGACAAAGTTAGCCCAATAATAGAGGACATGCAAAAGCCCAATTACGAGGAAAACAATGCCGTGGAAAAGAAAATCACTGATGATTCAGAGCTAGGTGCTACTGGGAAGAGTCAAGATAAGGTTAGTTTGTAAAGCTGATTTCTTTCAAATGGCAGTTTAAATTCTCCCCCTCCATTCATTGATGGAAACACAAAAATAAATCATAATAAGCATTCATCTGTTTTTGCACAGAAATTACTTGAATATTTAATGGGAAAGTCAGAGTCCCTATTAAACTCTGATACATAACAATTTTTTAAAAAGATTTTATTTACTTAATTATTTGAGAGTGAGAGAGCACAGTGGAGGGGGCATGGAGGAGCAGCAGAGGGAGAGAGAGAAGCAGACACCTCACTGAGCAGGGAGTCTGATGTGGGTTTTGATATCAGGACTCTGGTTCATGACCTGGGCCAAAGGCAGATGCTTAACTGACTAAACCACCTAGGTATCCCCAGAACAATTTTAAAAACAGACATTTCTGAAAATTTGGTTAGAATTCTATAAGCCTAATCGTAATAACTGATGCACCTTGTAACTGTTCACACAAGTTCCTACTGTGTAAAAATGTGAATGGGTTGTTAGATGATTTAAACACCAGAATTCTTGCAGGTGAAAAAAGCACGTTTTTACAAACAGAAGTTTATGAAGTACTAGAAGCTGAACTTCTGTTTTTCTGGTCACATTCTGCAGTCTTGTCTTCCACGGACCAATGCAATTTTGCAGCATACCATCCATTAACTAATCATTCTTTTCTCCATCTTTCCCCAGGGAATAGAAATGGAAGGTCCCAGTAGTGGCAGCAGAAACATTACCAAAGAAGCTGGGAAAGTCAGTGAAGATAAAGAGAGTAAAAGACAACAAGGAATGGTCATGGGGAAAGGAAATGTCAAGACACCAGGGGAGACTGACAACATACAAGGGCTTAGTCAGAAATCAGAACCTGGAAATAAGGTTACACGCAGCAAAACAGGTAGTGAAAGTAATAGTGATGGGTATGACAGTTACGAGTTTGATGACAAATCTATGCAAGGAGATGATCCCAACAGTAGTGATGACTCTAACAGCAATGATGATGCTGATTCTGAAGGTGACAATGGCAGCAACAGTCAAGGAGACACTGGCTATAACTCTGATGAATCAAAAGATAATGGCAATGACAGTGACTCAAATGGAGGAGCTGATAATGACAGTGACAGTACATCAGATGCTAATGACAGTGACAGTAATGGCAATGGGAACAACAGGAGTGATGCCAATGGCAAATCAGACAGCAGCAAAGATAGATCAGACAGTAGTGACAGCAGTGATAGCAGCGACAGCAGTGACAGCAGTGACAGTAGCAACAGCAGTGATAGCAGCGACAGCAGTGACAGTAGTGACAGCAGTGACAGTAGCGATAGTAGTGACAGCAGCAATAGCAGTGACAGCAGCGATAGCAGTGACAGCAGCGATAGTGATAGCAGTGACAGTAGCGATAGCAGCAATAGCAGTGACAGCAGTGACAGTAGTGACAGCAGTGACAGCGGTGATAGTGACAGTAATCACAAGTAGGCAGAGAGGCAGGCAGAGAGAGAGGGGGAAGCAGGCTCCCTGCTGAGCAGAGAGCCTGATGTGGGGCTCGATCCCAGGACCCTGGAATCATGACCTGAGCCGAAAGCAGAGGCTTTAACCCACTCAGCCACCCAGGGGCACCAAATGCCCTTTGGAAAGGAGTCAGAGAATGCTCCTCAGAGAAGACTCTTCTGCTAACATAATTGGTATAATCTCAAAGTGTAGGTATTATTATCCCAGATGGAGGGAACAAAGGCTTAATAAAACTACTTAAATCTCTGAAGTTCATGCAACAAGTAGCAGAGGTAGAACTTGAACCTAGGTCTCTAAATCCAAACTTCGTGTTCCTTCCACTAGCCAAGGCTACATGATGTTAGTAATTTCTTTCCTTCACAGTGTCCTATAGCCCACTTCTGTGGATTGTGATGGGGATGATAAATGATTCCTCTTTTAGTGATAATCTTAGAATTAGTTAATACTTGATTAAAATTATTCCGAAAAAAATGTTATCACCATCAAAAATAGCAAAACAAAGTTATGGTTGTATCCTTTGTAACTACATGGCTGTGTCTCTTCATTGGCATAGGCAGAAAAAGTCTAGTTAGCTACACCAGTGCTGAGCCTGATGATGCCTCCGTATGTCTCTGGGAGCACTCCAGCTATGTTCTGTAACACTGAGTCTTGATAGCCTTCTTCTCATGTTGGATATATACTCCCTGCCCAGGAAAAAGTCAAAATAATACCTTACCATGGTTATCATCTTTTTCTTTATAAGTAATTTTTGCTGTTCTTTTTTCATTAAAAACAGGTTGATTAACATTCCTAAAGAAAATGAAGATAATTATATATTTTTGCATTTGGGCAGCAGCATGGGCTATTCCAGTAAGTATGTATTCCTTAGAAAATCTCCTCACTTTGTTATCTCTTTTAACCTAACATTAAATAATATGTATTTCCTTAAGACTTTGAAGACAAACTGTGCCTAAACATTTAAATTTCCATGAAAGACTTTATGAGATATCTTTAGGGGTCTCAACAAACCCAAATATGCACTCCAATTCATGCTCCCATTCCTCTAAATGAAACTAATACCTTGTCAGATGGATTATTACTATTAAAATTTATTCCATTTGTGTTTGCTTTGGCAGCACATATACTAAAATTGGAATAATACAGAGAATATTAGCATGGCCCCCATACAGGGATAACACACAAATTTGTAAAATTCATTCAGATTTATATTCAATGCTCAAAAGTCATGGAGACTTCAGCCATCTTTGCTCATGCCCTGTGAATTTCATTATAATATCAATGAAACCTACATATTTTTAAAAAAGATTTTATTTATTTATTTGACAGACAGAGATCACAAGTAGGCAGAGAGGCAGGCAGAGAAAGAGAGAGAGGAGGAAGCAGGCTCCCCGCTGAGCAGAGAGCCCGAAGCGTGACTTGATCCCAGGACCCTGACACCATGACCCGAGCCAAAGGCAGAGGCTCAACCCACTGAGCCACCCAGGCACCCTGAAGCCTACATTTTAAAGGAAGTTTTCAAGGAATTATTTGGAAAAAATAAGGATTTTTTCAATGTAGGAGAAAATTAATGTTTCACTCAGATAATTTTTTTTTTAATGCTCATTGGGGAAAATTTGGAATACACAGATAAACACCAACAAAAAAAAAATTAGGAAAATTAAACCATTTGTAATTTTGTTACCCTGCTATGGGTAACATTTTGGTATGCTTTCATACTATCAAACAACTTGGTATTTATGCAGTTCAGAATTTTCTCAACTATTTCAAATGTGCTCCTGAAGGAGCGAAGTAGCATATTACTTTATTTTGTTTCTTCACTGGCTCTGGTCATACCTTGTATTTTCTTAGGGGTTTGGTCAGGATTATACTTAAGGTGGGTCTTGCGCTAGTGTGGGAGGTTTGTACAGAAACATTAAAGGTCTATCTCCTCATTTTTATAAAAGACAATCCTCCTTGAGGTAACTGTCCGGTTAATATCAATAAAATCAGTAATACTATTGTGAGAATTATCTGTATGCCCAGTTTAAATCCTACATAAGCTGTGTAACAAGCTTGGTTAGATATTACTTTGGCCTTTGCATTATATATTTTTCTTCATTTAGAGAAAAATGTGTGTCTGTATGTATGTGTGCATGTGTGCATGCATGTATGTTTTCATGTTTTCAATTTTTCATGTTTTTCATTCAATTTCATGAAATTGAATGTTTTCAATTTCCAACATTTTCATTTTGGTAGGTTCCTCAAATCAAGCCACTGGAGAGACATGCTGTTGACAAATCTACAAATTTAAATCTTCTGGAAAAAGCAAAAGTGCCAATACAGGTATAGGGTATAAAATGTGTTTCTAAGCTGTTTTTAAATTCTTTTTTTTAAAAATTAATTAATTAATTAATTATTTATTTGAGAGAGAGAGAGAGAGAGAGATCACAACAGAGAGCATGAGTCGGGGAGGGACAGAGGGAGAGGCAGACTCCTCACCTAGCAGAGAGCCTGACACGGGACTCCATCCCAGGACACTTAACCTACTGTGGCAGATGCTTAACTGACTGTGCCACCCAGATGCCCCTCAATTCTATTAACTTCCAGAAAACTGATGCTTACCTTTTCAGTCTGTTTTACTTCAAGATAAAATCTACAAATTATTTTGAATTGTTTCTCTTTTCCAGGATGAGTTAAATGCCAATGATACCACTGAAAGTGGTGACCCCCATGAAAATGAAAGAGGAAGGCAACAATATACCAGAGATGGTTACAAAGAAGAAAGAAATGGCTCTGAGTGGGTGGAAATAGGAGGGAAAAGTTCTTCTACAGATTCCATGTTAGTAAATGATGAGGGGAATAGTGTGGACCAAAATGGGGTCACAGGAAAACCAGAAACATATGGTTATGATGGGATACATGGAAAAGAAGGTAGCACCACAGCAAATGGCATCAGGGGACAAGTAAGCATCATTGGCAATGCTGGAATAGCAAATGGAAGCAATATTAATAGAAATGCTGATAAGAATTTAAACAATGGAGGAGTTGTTGGAGATGCAAGTCTGAGTGAGAATGTCACTGTTGTCCAAGAAGAAGACCATCAAATAGGTAGAAGCAATAACAGTACAGGCCATGAGGATGAAATAAATAGGAATGCCTGTAGAAATGAGGGTGATACAAGTGAAATAACACATCAGAGAGAAAGTGAGGGAAATGGGAATCAGGAGGCAGAAGTAACACCAGGAAGAAGTGGAGCTGGCAGTGGAAAAGATGCTGGCCTGGATAATTCTGATGGGAGTCCTAGTGGAAATGGAGCAGAGGAGGATGAAGAAATAGGTTCTGGTGATGATGAAGGTGAAGAGACAGGGAATGGAAAAGAGGGTACTGATAACAGGAAGGGCCAAGAGGGTCAGCCTCATGGAAAAGATGACAATGATAACAGCTTAGGTCAAAATTCAATTAGTAGTGAAGATGATGACCCAGAAGATAAAGAAGATCCCCATGACATCGATGGAGACAACACCTCCAAGAGTGAGGAGGATTCTGATGGTATTTCTAAAGACAAAGTTAGCCCAATAATAGAGGACATGCAAAAGCCCAATTACGAGGAAAACAATGCCGTGGAAAAGAAAATCACTGATGATTCAGAGCTAGGTGCTACTGGGAAGAGTCAAGATAAGGTTAGTTTGTAAAGCTGATTTCTTTCAAATGGCAGTTTAAATTCTCCCCCTCCATTCATTGATGGAAACACAAAAATAAATCATAATAAGCATTCATCTGTTTTTGCACAGAAATTACTTGAATATTTAATGGGAAAGTCAGAGTCCCTATTAAACTCTGATACATAACAATTTTTTAAAAAGATTTTATTTACTTAATTATTTGAGAGTGAGAGAGCACAGTGGAGGGGGCATGGAGGAGCAGCAGAGGGAGAGAGAGAAGCAGACACCTCACTGAGCAGGGAGTCTGATGTGGGTTTTGATATCAGGACTCTGGTTCATGACCTGGGCCAAAGGCAGATGCTTAACTGACTAAACCACCTAGGTATCCCCAGAACAATTTTAAAAACAGACATTTCTGAAAATTTGGTTAGAATTCTATAAGCCTAATCGTAATAACTGATGCACCTTGTAACTGTTCACACAAGTTCCTACTGTGTAAAAATGTGAATGGGTTGTTAGATGATTTAAACACCAGAATTCTTGCAGGTGAAAAAAGCACGTTTTTACAAACAGAAGTTTATGAAGTACTAGAAGCTGAACTTCTGTTTTTCTGGTCACATTCTGCAGTCTTGTCTTCCACGGACCAATGCAATTTTGCAGCATACCATCCATTAACTAATCATTCTTTTCTCCATCTTTCCCCAGGGAATAGAAATGGAAGGTCCCAGTAGTGGCAGCAGAAACATTACCAAAGAAGCTGGGAAAGTCAGTGAAGATAAAGAGAGTAAAAGACAACAAGGAATGGTCATGGGGAAAGGAAATGTCAAGACACCAGGGGAGACTGACAACATACAAGGGCTTAGTCAGAAATCAGAACCTGGAAATAAGGTTACACGCAGCAAAACAGGTAGTGAAAGTAATAGTGATGGGTATGACAGTTACGAGTTTGATGACAAATCTATGCAAGGAGATGATCCCAACAGTAGTGATGACTCTAACAGCAATGATGATGCTGATTCTGAAGGTGACAATGGCAGCAACAGTCAAGGAGACACTGGCTATAACTCTGATGAATCAAAAGATAATGGCAATGACAGTGACTCAAATGGAGGAGCTGATAATGACAGTGACAGTACATCAGATGCTAATGACAGTGACAGTAATGGCAATGGGAACAACAGGAGTGATGCCAATGGCAAATCAGACAGCAGCAAAGATAGATCAGACAGTAGTGACAGCAGTGATAGCAGCGACAGCAGTGACAGCAGTGACAGTAGCAACAGCAGTGATAGCAGCGACAGCAGTGACAGTAGTGACAGCAGTGAC